TTACCGTTGTACTCTTTTTCGCAGATGGCCCTTGAACGCAGAAAGAAAGAAACCAGATATGCATTGACTGAAAGACAACCGCCCGCGCAGGCTCACTTCGAAGCAGACTACCTAAGCTAACAGTAGTAACCTTTTCAAGTGGACGTATCGTATCTGTTTCGAGGAATTCCCTTCTTCCTCTTTCGAACACCTGATTCCGGAAACTTCCTGCGCTCTGTTGGGAATATTGGCAGAGTCATCATCAAGCTACGCAGCCTTGGCGTTTTCTCGACTTCACACCACCCTCACCACATTCAACAAGGAATCGATTATGCAAAGACCGACCGACATCGGCAACCTGCTACACAACGCCCCCGGACTTTGAGTTTTGGGGATCAACCAGCCGGAAGCGAGCCAATCCAATATCGATGAACTTGTCTTCGATGCAGCCTGATAAGCTCGACGCCCATTCGCAACACAGAGTCATGCCTTTCCCCCTCGTTTAGGGCATTACAAAAAACAAAGTAGCATAGCAGACAGGCGCGGGCATCCTCAAGGCATTTCTACACTACACTACTGTATAGCATCACAGACAATAACCACCCACTCTGCCCTTCGACAGTGTACTTTCGCGAATGAGGTCGGAACAGAAGCATTAGTGCGAATAACTTCCAAGGTGCTTCCGAAAACTCCCGATAACTCAAGCGCCCGAGCGAAGAAGTGGGGTGCGCTAGCTCCTCAGCTAGTGTAGGTCGGATGTCAGACGTTCAGGAAGGCCGGAAAAAAAATGGGATGGAAGGCGCTAACATCTTGCACTACCACATACAAGCATTTTAACAGCATGCAGTAGTCTAGTGTAAAGACCGCGGTAGGGACAAGGGTCATAGATCAGTTCGCGCCACTCGACATGGGGAATTGAAGTGTCTCCGATTACCTCATGAAAACTAATGTACAGACTTTACATACATAGTACTACACTAGATGGCCCTGTCCTTGAGTTGTTCTCTTTTTTTTGTTCTTTGCTGTTTGCGATTTGTGGCTGGCTTTCCATGTCTGACCAGAGACGGCCACCGGACGAAACCAGGAGATCGGCGGAATAACTTCCTACCTAACTTTTGAGAGCTGGTGATGGTCAGCGACTTGCCGGGTATGTGTATTGACCCCAAAAAAGCCCCAGTAGTAACGCCATGTGCAGAGTGGAATGAGCGATCTTGAAGCTGAGACGTTAGGACATTTGGACATTTGCTCTACAGCGATGGTGGAGGCTCCTGCGTGAACTGGTCAGTGCAATCAGACCGAGTAAGTAAATACGGTAAATGATAAGAGTACCTAGGTACCTGAGAACGATGAGCTCAGTTGTTCAGGTTCCATGAAATGTTACCTTAACAAGTCACTTCTTAGGGCAGCAGTAGCAGCAGCATGTGTACACTATCTATACTACATAGCCGCATCCGATCGTGGGGTAAAGCTCAGATAGGGTACGTACCCTACTTGTAGCCTACACGTACACTGCGCATACGTGCTGGGTACTACTGTACCGGTGCTGTACCTCTAAATACATAATGACACGAAGGTTTGCTAGGGATCTCATCCAAAACATGGACCGTAATCTGGAGAAGCTGAATTCACGACAATGCACTTTACCACCGCTAAGGTTGGTTAGACGTCAGATTTAGTGTTCCATACAGAACCAATAAATCCATTCATCCTAATAATTTCCTCCTCGAATCTGTCATACCTTTGCCGTTTATCCACCGGCAATCATTGAACAGCCACGGCATCATCATCAGCGAACTTCACCATCAACGCGCCCTGGATAGTCTCGGAACCTCACGTTAAACTTTTCGCCTACGTATGCACAGCTAAACCAGGCAAGACGTCACGGTCCCAGTCGCAGCTCAAATTTTGCATGCGATACAATTAACGATTTTCCAACCAACACCTCGAGCAGTCCTGCAACAGAAGGCTTGTTAACAACAGAGCCAGTATGTTTTCCATCCTCCCTGACCTGGCCCCGCGCGACGTAAGTTTTGATATCTTATCTCTGCTCTGCTCTGCTCTGCTCTACTCAGCCCTACCATTCCCACATCACACCTGACCCCTCCAATCCTACCTAACACTCAATTTGCTTATCACTACTAACGCCAAACAAACAGTCCCACTCCCTCTGGTACACCTCCTCTCGCAACCCTCTCGCATCCTCAACCTCCAGTCTCCTCTCAGCCTTCGACCCATCCTCCTCTTCCACTTCCCCAGAGGGTCTGATTACTACCAACTCACAAACCAGCAACGTTATCCCTGGAACGACCACTGGCAGCAATCACGTCCACGGCCACAACAGCCGAAATGCTTCCCGCAACATTCAAGCCGCCATCATCGAGCGCTCCCTGCTCGGCCGCCTTCGCGCCGACGAGACGTACATGGAGCGCCGCAAGGCTAACGTGAGCAACCTGGGTAGTACCTGGCTGAAGCCACTTGGCGTGAGCAAGACGTTGTTCCAGATGCGCGAGGAGGAGCACGAGAGGCAGGAGCACGAAGAGGCGATGCGGCGCGAGGAGATGCTGGCTGGGGAGCTGGCGGAGGCGGAAGCGGCTGCTGCTGCTGCTGCTGCTGCTGCTGCTGCTGCTGCTGCCGGTGGTGGTAACATCGGTGCTGTTGTTGGTGTTGGCGATGGGAATGGGACTACGGTGTTGGAGGAGGTTGCTGGCGTGGAGGGAAGGGACGTGGGAAACACGAATAGAATTTCTGGTGGTGCTGATGATGGTGACATGGAATTGATGGGGGGTGATGATGACATGGATGAGATGGGAGGAAGGGATTTGGACGAGGACATTCCGGATGCGGACGAGGGTGGATTTGGATATGATGGGGCTAGCGATGATGACGACGAAGACGAGCAAGAAGAGGAGGAGAATGATCAAGCAGAGGAGGAAGAAGAAGAAGAAGAAGAAGCCACCACCGAACGAAACACCACCACCGGCGATCATGGGAACGACGACGAAGACACAGTCGAAGCCCCACAGGCAACATCAACAGCAACGGGCATCGGCTCCTCCATCCTCCATCCCCGCGGGCGCAACGACAACAGCAATATTCACCAGCAGCAACAGCAACAGCGCGAGCTAGCCAACGTGCGTGCCAACGAAGAACGCATGCGCGAGATGATGGCCCGCGGTGGTCTCCGGCCCACGCACGTCAATCTAGCCGATGGCGCCGCAGACGAAGATGACGACATCGACGAGGAAGACCAAGCCCACATGCTAGAAGAGGACGACATCATCGGCACTCACAACAGCGGAGAATATGCGGACGATGACGGAGGCATGACGGACGACAGTCTAGGCATGAACGCCAACCTAGATGACGACATTCCAGAGGCGGGCGAGGAGCGTGCACAAAGCGGTTTCTATGAGCATACCGATTCCGAGGCGGAGCTTCTTGACAGCAGTGATAACGAGGGAGGACAAGAGCAAGTCGGTACAGGTGCAGGCATCGGCATAAGCAGCAGTGGTAACGGTGGTAACATGAGCGGCAGTCACAGACGCGCTCACCGGGTTAGCTACGGACCTGGTTCGGCAGCGGGATCAGCGCGGGGCCAGCATCGCCGCGTATCGCTGCCGAGACAGCAGCAGCAGCAGCAGCAGCGGTTGTTGAGGACTAGTCTTGCGGGAAATGCCAGGCGGAGCACAATTGGAGCGCCAAGGAGCAGTCTGGATATCAGTGGGCTGTTGTCTGTTGATGAGAGTAGTCCCATGATGAGAAGCAGTCCAAGGGTGAGGAGGCTGCACTAGAATGAAGGTCCATGATGGTTCGGAAATAGAAACAAGGGAGGATCAAAACTGAAGAGTTCTGGTAGGAACGGTCGGCAAGCATCATTCAATAACAGGTCGTTTGAGTCTGGCGCATGGCGTCTTGGGATCATGGCAGTATGGGTAGCTACTTGGTGGCTTTAGAAGCAGGATTGAATAGATAATGTCCGTCAAAAGACAACTTTGATCTTCGTTACAGCATTGGTCTGGTCTATGCAGTGGTAGTGTACACGCAGTTCTGATTAACTGTCTGTTATACCCTCAATGACTATCCACTTCACGTCTGTGGGAGCCCATATATAGCTTCATGATGGATCAGTGGATTAAAACAGATAATTGAACCTAATTGGTTGGAGAACGGATTAAGAAGGATTAAAATAAATAGAAGAAAAAAAAAACCCCGAAAAATCCGACTCCTGACCCTACCCGAACGACTTAACAAACGCGAACTCCCCGGCGCCAGCATGCAAAAACCAAGTCCACCCGGAATTCTACCAAGCGCAACCCATATCCATGCCTTTTCTATCCCACAAGGTAGCCAGCCACTTTGACCTAGGACCTTCCGTTTTCCTCATCATCCATTGGTATCGCCCATCATTGAAGCCATATATATACTATCCCATCTTTCCTTTGCACATATAGGGTCTCTTTTCTCGTTTCCATCCATCTTGCTCAAATCGCTTTGCCCCACGCAGCAGCAGCAGCAGGAGGACCACTCCGCCGACCAACATGCCCCTCCATTTTTTTTCTTTTTCTTTTTTTCTTTTTCTCTCTTCCAAGTGGGTACTAGAGATACCTCACGTAAAAAAAGAGGAACACCACGGCAGCGAAGAAGGCAAGCCACACCCTCCACCCGACATTGGTCTTCTGTGCCATGATGAGCATTCGGTTCATGGTACCACGGAGTCGGAGGCGGGTTTGGTCGAAGGATTCGTTCATCTTCTCGGCGAGGGCGGAGGAGTCTCGAATTTCATCGCCGATGGCTATAGTCATCTGTTTGGGGGGGAGGGATGGGGTTAGTTGTTGGGTGGTTTACGAGAGAAGGAAGTGGGAGAGAAAGAGGAGAGCAGAAAGAGAGAACAAAAACGTACATCCTTCAAAATCTTGACTTTACCCATTATCCCTTCCACCTGCTCATCATTCTGGCTCTCGAGTTCGTTGAGGACTGCGTCGCTGTACTGGCCCCTCGAATTTGGAGTAGCAGGCCTAAACCCGCCCCTTTCCACCCCCAGTGTTGACGAGCTACCGTTATAACTCCCACCGCCACCATAGCCGCCCCCGTACCCGTATCCGCCGCCACCGCCATACCTGGCTGGGCTGGCGTTGGCTGAGCGGCGCTCGGCTGCGCTGGAGCCAGAGTAGCCCTTGAAAAGGTCGCTGCGCGGGTCGCGCTGGTGTAGGGAGGAATGTGCAAATCTGTACTCCGGAAGAAAAAAAAAAAGCGGACTAGTTGTTAGAAGGGTGTTTTCTTGTCTTGTTCGAAGGATTAAGGGGTTGGTGGGATGGGGGTTGTGGTGGGTGGTCAAAGTCGAATCGAGGACGACCCGGCGGCATGGGGGATGGATCGAGTTGACGCTTTCGGTTTCGCTGTCGTTCTCGCTCTCGTCGCCAGTGCTGCTGTGGTTGCGCCGCTGTTGCGACTGCATCACATCACGGTATTGAACTCGTATCGTATCCTACCATGGCACGGTTGGAGGCGTGTTGGCGAAACTCTGAAACCAGAGCGATGACGTAGTTGAGGCCGTCGCGCCATGACCAGGGGGGGCACGTCGAGAAATCGTGACTTGTCAAATCACCATAATATCGATAGCTGCTGCCTTTGGTCCGCAGATATCTTCCGGTGGCAATATCGTACACCCGTTCACCGTGGGCCGGGCATCTCGGTCGGCCGCTTCATCGTGTGTCGGTCGTGGGTTTGGTCGAGTTGACAGGCCAAGTCGCATTTCGAAATGGGAAAGGTGGCATTTGCGTGTGGTGTGGTGCAATGCTAAGACGAACGTACTGAGAGAATCGCACTCACCTGGAAGCCATCATGGAGAGCAAATTTAGGTCGATCCGTCTTCGAGAATCCTGGCAGATAAATGATAGCTAACTTGTAAGTATGTGGGTAGGTATTAAAGATGATGAATTGGCAGGTTCCATAGAGGTAGCGTCGGGCGGTGGGTGTGCGGGTGGTGAAGAAAGAAAATAAAGTTGAATGCCCGTGGACCCTTGGCCCCCAGCGCCGGCAGATCCCCCTTTTCTTTATGGGTGGTTGTTAGGCCTGTTTTGGCCAGATGTTACCTTGGTGCGCCGTCAAGGTACATAAACTACAACGTCAGTCCGCGTCTCGGTGATACATATGTAATGGCTAAAAGGTACAATGTTGTTTGTGCCGTATGATGCTGAAAAGGACACGTTGATCGAACACCTGGGTTGGTGTCACGTCTTCCTCTCCGAGAGAACTTGACACTATTTTCCCCAGTCCAACTGGTTTGTCAATTTTTCTCTATGTCGGAGGGTTCATGTTCGGCGTTGTTCAAAGTCCCTCCGAGAGGTGCCCGTGTTGCTTCCACTGATATTGGCCAATTGGGCGTTCAGCGTCTCCATTCTTCCTCTACCTTCTTTTTTCTCTCAGCTTGTCGCGTCAGCAATCAGTTGATCCGCGTTAGATTGCGCAAGGCGCGTAGACTTAGTAGGGACTTATCAAATCGAACCTAAGCCCAAATCCGAGACTTTCAGAAACGTTGAAGCTTTCCAAGTCGAAGTCATGCATTCGCACAAATGTTGGCGTCAAGAAAGAAGCTAGTGTACTGCGTAGAATACCCGGTGGATCAGGCCAAGATCGCGAACCTTGTTGGTGGCTGGTGCGATGCTCCGGTTCCTGACGTCTGCTGTGTACTCCAGAAACAGGACCGATATCAAATCTCGATGGTGATAGCAACTCTAGAATTCGCCGGAATATTACCTTTTCATAGGCCAGCCGTAGACATAACACCCCCTTCAGGCTGCCTCGCCCTTAGTTTACTGGCACCCCATCTCAATAGGACAACTGCCCTTGAGCTGACAGGGAACCATCCAATGTCTCCACTTATGGGGGTTAGGTTAGTGAAGACAAGCGATCAAGCATATTTTGATACACCAACGTACGTAGTATGTTGATACTTTCAGATTGGCTGACAGAAGAGATCGGTCTACCTGAACTGATAAACAAATGATCACTTACACCCTTATCATGTATTGCCAAATTCTGATTGTGGGAACTCCCAAAGCATTGAACCAAACAACCCCGAGCCCCAAAGCTGACATTCGCGTACATAAATAGGTCCAGCCAATCAGGCTTAGCAATCAGCCAAAGGACCGCTTACATCTCCAAGCTCGTGATCATCATAAACTCAACCACTGGCAGCGTGCAAAGCGCAGAGCCAACGGGGAAACCCAGGAACAAAGAAAACAAGAATTTGTTGTTGTTGTGAACCATCAAAGGAAATCAGAAGATAGCCTCGGACTACTCCTCCATCTCCTCATCCTCGGGCACAAACTCCTCATCGTCCTCCTCATCGTCCTCCTCGGCAGGCAGGTCCTGAGCGGCCTTGGCATAGTCGATCTCCTTCTGGCGAGTGCGGGGACCACTGATCACATTGCTGGGGTCGATCTCCTCGAGGTTGTCTTCCTCTGATTTTGTTCATGTTAGTTCCTGTACGTAAGCTGTTTTTGCGCGTTGTCACCCGTGATTGAGCGTTGGCTGATGGATTCAGATGTAATTAACGTACCAGCTTCGGGCTCCTGCAAACGGATGGGTTAGCACGGACAATGCGAAGAAGAGTGTTTTGAGAAGCAAGTTTGATGCCTTCAGAATTTAACTCACCTCAGTCTCATCCTCATCTTCATCATCCTCGTCGTCCTCTGCATCACCCATGGGGTGGTCCTCGGACTCAGCGGGAGCCTTGCCCTTGCCCTTGCTTTCAAAGGTGGTGTTGGCCTCGGCGGTGCCCGCGAGGGTGGTGTCGGTGGTACCGTTCTCGGTGGACATTTTCGAGATGGATTAAGTAGCAAAAGTGGTGATTATTGTCTTTATTTGCGCGTTGGCGATGGCAGATGGATCCGATCAACAGATTCCAAAAATGGTTATTAGTTCTTGTTAATGAGGCTGAACGCGACCAAAAGTTGGGTTTGTCAAGAGAGCGTTCCTTTCGCTTGAGAGGTGAAGTCAAGTGGGGAGAGAAAAGTTCCAAGATGTGATGTTGGGAGTTGGTGGTGACTTCCAAGGTGAAGTTGAACTGTATGGTCCGTTGAGAGAGCGACGAGGGCAGGCGCGCGCAGGGCAATGACATGGGAGCAGCGAACAGCTTCCAAGTACCCACTTTCCAATTATGAGGCGGGAGCTAGCTGTAGGATCCACTTGCCATCTGGCAATGGGGCAGTGTGCTAGCCGCGCTAAACTGTATAGACAAGTATCGCCACTGGCAGACAGTTGTGAATCGAGACGCAAGGGTACCTCTAGGGGCCGTGCAGCAGGCAGCTAGCAGGGCTCCTTGCTTCGGCACGCAGCGTCCCCGTCCAACCTGCTAGACACTGACGCAAGGGGCAGAGGAGTCACCAGCTGGAAGCTCAGTGATGAGGAACGCGACTAGATCGGAAGTCTCCCTGTACTAGGTACCTCTACAGTACAAACGGGTTATGAGAAGAGTACCTAGGTACCTAGGTAAGGTAAGGGTTTCAAACAAGACAGGACAGCGGGGAGCACTGCGAGAAAATGGCAATCAATACAACCAAAACGCGCGAAACGGACATCCTCACCCAAGAGATGAAATGCATAGCAAAGCTCTGTATGATGCTTGACCAGGGAAGGAAAACAATGTGGCCAGTCTATTACTTCCCATCGCCTCCGCCTCCCAGGGAGAGGACCATAACAATGGCAATAACCCACCAGTACCTGTAGTGCGGCAAACCAGCTCGTCAGCAATCAAAGCCCTCATCTCAGTGTTATCAGAACTTGGGAAGGGAAGGGATTCAATATACTTTTGTAAAAGGGTCTTCTCCTGCGGCACCACCTGTTTGCCCTCTGGCGACAGCACGACCGGCTTGTTCAACTCCGGCTGCTTGCCCTGCGCTGTGCGGACCACCACCGCTTGCGGCCCAAAGTCCCTTGTCTGTCCAGCATCGATCCTGATGCCCTTGAACGCGACGCCCAAGACGTGCCGGTTGTCATAGCTACCCTCCTGATTGCTCTCGTCCACTGATAGCACGATATGTGGCGCGTACCCCTTGCCGAAGTTTTCTGCCGATATGACCGACGTAGATGACACCCACTTCTTTTCCGCCTTGTCGTACACGCCGATACGTAGGAGCTCGTGGCCTCGCAAGTCGTCGAGGATCTCAGGCGCTTCGTAGGCAGACACCACCGGTGCTACCGCGCTGCTTGGGTCTTGTGCGGTGTCGTAACTGACTTCGGCGAGGAAAGATGGCACAGAGGAGGAGTTGACGGGCTGGATATAGATTGGTACGGTGATGACCTGAGCCGTTGCGGCCGTTGCGGCGACCAAAAGCGCCGACGCAAGCGACGCGAGAAGCCTCATGGCGGATCGAGGATTGTCGAGAGCTTGTCGCCCGTGTGGTTGCTACAGTCTTCCGAGATAGTTTTTGCTTCTGCTTGAAGGAGACGCAGATAGTCACCAAGTATGAATAGTGAGAAGATGCTGCTGTCGCGCGAAGAGAAGCGGACAAGTCATCAAGAATGACGAAAATGGAGCCACGGCTGGAGATGCTTGGGCCTCAGCTTGTGCTGTGGGTGTTAGGTCGGTCGTGTAGTAAAAGGTGGGTCCCGGTGTTGACCCTTGGCATAGGTTGCCCGTTTCTGCGGGTATTGGAAGCCTGGTGGGGTCTTCATCCGGTCCAGGACCGATCACGAGGGGCAGCGCCGGTTGAGAGGGCCCGACACCCGGTCTATAATGGAGGTTTGGACTTTCGCTACGTCCTGAATCGACACCGATACCGTTTCTGCCCGAATCAGTGTTACAAGACGTATCGATCAAGAGAAAAAGACATCTGACTAGAAAGAGGAAATCTGTTCTCAGTGGTATCTACCAAAAGTGCTATTCCTATAAGAGTGCCAGGTAAAGGAACAGCCCATTCATCTCCCCCACCCAAAAAAGATTGCTATTTCGCCGCGGTGCTTCATAGGACACACCAATCATCTCATATCTGTCATCCTGTCATAATCCCCCTCTCAACCCAGGCGTTGTAACTCGAACGTAGTGTTTGGACGGGACGGGAGCAATACTCTTCCAGCTTGAGTCCTTGCTGTCTTCGATAACCAAGATCACATTTCTTCCAATGTATCCACTCCCTCCATATAATTCCCGTTTATTTCCATTTGATATCCCATTGCTTCCGTCCCGCAGGCAGATTGCCCTCAGACAAGCCCCGACAATTCAAAAGGCGCCTCATAGTCTTTTGCTTTTCCGGCAGATACTTCCCGGTCGCTTTTGTCCGAATGATCTCCTCTGTTGATTTTCTTTTTTGCGCCCTTCGTTGGTTTGATTCCCTATGTACTCTATTTTTTTGTCTCCTGCCACGTCCCGTTGTTATACACCAGCTCCAGATCGGACATGACTGATCGATTTGAGCCGAAGAACACCTTGGTTACGTGGCATGTCTATCCCTTTGGCTTGAAGTCGTCTCCTCTTCCCTTTCTCCTCCTTCGCCGTTTATATCGTCGTCGTCGTCGTCGCCTATCGCATCGCTTTCGTCTAGCTCTTCATCTTCATCTTCGTCGTCTGCTTCTTCTGGTTCTGGACATTCCAGTATATATCCTGGACATCTGGCCACAAGTCCACCATAATATGCCACAAGGACGTCAGGGTCGGGCACGATCTTCCAGTCGACGCGGTGGAGGAATTCCAACTCGAGCATGTTAAGTTCCGCAACTCTGACACCTCCCACTCTCGCATATAGTGTGTTGGTCAAGAAGGAGTCTGAGAGCCCCTTGGCGGCAACGGTAGCGGCTGTTATGAGAAATCGATGAACGGTAAGTGTGTTAATGGTGAAGTCCGAGTATAGTGCGCAAAGGCGGTCGATATAATAAACCATGGAGAGAAGTATTGGTGGTGACAGATAGGCATGTTTTGCGAGTCGGTGGAGATAATCCAAAACCGATATTCCAGGTGTCGTTCTGCGAATTTTCATGTCAGCAGCTTGTCCTTTCATCCGCATCATGATCAGATCCAGGCAGTTTGGGGATTGAAGGCAGCCTACCGGGAGTGAAACCTCGTAAGGTTATGACGCTGCCCCACTTTCTGAGCCGCTTCGTCGTTAAGTTCAATAAGCTCGCCCAGCATGTGCGCAATAAGCACAACCAGGTCTTCGACCGGACAGTGCTCATATCGCCGGGACACAATTTTGGGCGCTAATCTCGCGCGCTTAGGGGAGTGCGGACCGCTTTGCCCGGTGCTCGCCGCTTCAACTTGGTTGTGGGTGACGTCGCCTTGCGAGTTTCTCCTCTTCACGGGGGTACCTGTCTGAGGAGTATGTGACAACGGATGCGGTTGGGGCGCCGCTGAGTAGACCCCAGGAGTCGGAGGCACCGCCACGGCCACTGTCGGGCCATGCGGAATGGGAGCAGCGGTAGCTTCTGATGTGGAGGCCAAGGCCGAGGCCTGCTCCTCGTGGGAAGCCATGAGCCCGACGGAGTTAGGTATATGTGAAGGCCGGGACTCGATTGAGCCTCGGGCGACGGCTTGGTTGTTCGAGGAAGAAGCGGCTTGACTAGAAAGCAGGGCGCCGGTCGTGTAATCCATCGGCTCCATGGGCGAGTACTGGGCCGCTACATCGACGCCTGCCCAGCGCTGAGGCCGGGACGAGGGAGGGAAGCCGAGGCCGGGGTCGGAGGCTACAGGGGAGGAGGTGTGGGAGGCTACCGGTGCTGGGCCGTGTCGTGACTGGATTGAAATGGGAAGAGAGGTGGACGAAGTGGCGGGGGCGGTTGCGGATTGCCGGCGAGAGGAGAGGGCCGGGATCCGGGATGCTGCTTCTCGAAGTGAAGGGGTAGGGGCATAGTGGAAGTGACCATGGGGAGCGGCGCCGCGACTCGGTCTCAGAGAGGTTGCGGCTGCAGTCACGGTCACGGTCACGGTTGTTGTGGGGGAGGTTGCGGCTGCGGAAGCGGGAGACCGAGTCAGCATCACAAATCCCGGCCTCGTCCGCCTCGCAGGGCGAAGCAGCAAGACACCGGAAGCGGGAAAGAACTGTGGGAGGTCGTGGAGTCCCGGCGTGGGCCCGAGCCGATGGCACGGTCGCTAACAGTGGGGCATTGAACAGGGTTGTGTCGGGTCCGTCGTCGACGAGCTTTTCCTCCGTCCACACAATCCCACACGAGGGTTGGTTCTGGACCGCCTTTTGTACAAAAGGTGACTAGGTACATACTCTATGTACAGTCATTGTGCATGAAGTAATTCGGGACAGCACTTTGTAGAGGTATGCATTTACAGGGCTCATGCCTCTACAGTTCCATATTCCATACCAAGATTTCCTGCCCGCCCTAGCATTTAACCTTTGAGGGACTTTAGGGTATTGGCGTAGAGGTAGCTGCTAGACTAGGCTTTAGACGCTCCCTTAAAAAGGGCGCCAATAAATGCATACCCACCAATTTGGGAAGCAATCTGACATGCAAATAGCAGCTATGTACACTAGTTGCCCATATTGAAGGATTGCGGACGGCGAGCTGTAAGCATTTAAAGGATGTTACGCATCTTCAGGTGTATGCACGAGCAGGTGTCGGATGGTGCTTGAGGGAGACAAATGAGGGTTTGAATAGGTGTCGTCGAAGAGAGAGAAGGTTGGTGAAGACCGCGTGGCAGGCAGTACTAATTGTCAGCACCAACAAGACGACTGCGGCTTGACTCTTGAGAGTTCGTAACACAAAACACGACGAGAGAGGCCAAGTCACGTCCACTTGAGGTTTATATATACTCCTGTTCTCCAGCCAGCTATCGAACTGCACGAAGGCACAATCATGTCATCGAGCCAAACGTACGCTTGGCGACGCAAAATATCCGATATGTCTGAGTATGGGGCAGAAAAAGGTTATAGTCCTCATGCGTCTGAGAGGATTGAAGGACATCTCAAACCACAAACCTTGAGCCAAAACTAAAACTGGGGATAAGTACTGCGTACAGCTGGCAAAATCAACCACAGAACATGTAGGTACCAACCGAGGATCATCAAAGTTGCATACAATCGAGCAAAGATATTATTGAGCGCCATGGACCACTCTTGGGGGAAAGGGCGAGGATGATAGGAGAGTACCCTGGGTACCGAAAGTTAGGTAGGTACCTAGGTACCTCTAAGGTAGTGTTACAAATGTCATTAGAGTTTAGGTACGACCTACCGCCTGGATGACAGCATCAGGATCGCGCCTGAGCTGTACACATTGTGGATATAGTAAGTTGGATAGTTCAAGTTGGATAACAGCTTCTTGCCTCTATGAGCAGCCCGCTCAATACAAATAATCAAAGAATCAAGGGAAAAAAATGTGCGGTACTTAAGAGAGGGGAACTGCCCCTGGAGCTGCCCGGAAGCGGGCTGCCCTGCTATTCCAGTCTTTGGCCTATACACTACCTATAGTCCTATACACATCGCGTGTAGTTAGAGGTACCAATGTTAGCGCACCCAAGCGCTAGGTACCTACCTACTACAGCTACCCTGGTGAGTCCCTGCCTGTGTGCATTTGAGGGCACGTCAACTCGAGAAAGGAAGGAACCGCCCCCGCAGCAGGCCCGGGCCAATCCATCCGTGGCCGCTCGTCGTTCCCCGCCACCGTCATTGGCCGTCTCCCGTACACCCAGCGTTGGACCTTCCGTCTCGTCATTGGACATCCCAATGTTGGACCTCCAAAGAATAATTCATCGCCGTCCGTTCTTTTCGCCAACACAGATGCCAAACACCACCAACACCAACACGCTGTCGCGCCCATTCCATTCGTTCCTTTCTTCTTTCCCATATCGACGCACGAGCTAGTATAAGTTAAGAGAGCGGCGACCGCCCAAACGCCCTTTTTCTCCCGCCGAGTCTGACACATCTCTCATCGAACGTCGTATCCACCTCTCCATCACGTCAATCGGCCGTCCGTGCAACTCCCTCCCAGCTCAACCCAGGTTGAGCCGTAGCAATATCGGCGACTTTACCAAATAGCTTCACGTACCTATCCTTACCAATACGCAAGTCCAAAACTCAGTCTGGTTCGCGGCAAAATCGGCTCTGATTTGCCTAACTTCAAGTCAACCACTCCGAGGCCGTTATACCGCGGTCTACAGCTTCCGGCCAAGTTCCCTCCGTTGACAAGAACGAACTCATAGCTTCGCTGGGAATCACATGGCCGAACAGGGAGTGTATTTATGACCGACCCGACCGATCGAACCACAAGTTATTACCAGCATCCTCACAACATTGATATAATACCCAAACATGGCGCATAGTCAGAGTCCCCCGGCTTTGCTGTGGCAGATTCAGAATGCTAGGAACCATGCCGAGCAGATTGAATTCCTCCGCCAACTCAAGGATGGGGTCATCGGTGATGTCCGGGCCAAGGAGAAGTGGGTGAACCACGGAATACTACAGTTTCTCGTCCATCTGCTTCAACAAAAACCCACAGCGCAGTCGCCCTCTGGTCTGGGCAGTAAGGAGGCTTACGCGCCCATCAGCCAGACTACGGACTTGCCGGATGATGATCGTGTGCGGCTATTGGCTTTGCAGCTCATCGCTAGTTTTGCCAAAGGTACGATGTGTCTCCTTAAATTTACTGGATATCGCAAAGCGTCAGAACCCTAATCGAGAGAGTTGTTACAGGTGGTCCTTCGTTTCTTACCCCTCTGAATGCCGTCGGAGCTGTTCCTGTTATTTTGACATATATTTGCCCGCACAAGAACCCCGCACAGCTTGTCTTGACCTCTCTGCGTGCTCTGAGCGACATGACAGAGGCTGCCAGTCTCTCGTCAAGAACAAGTATAGAGGCTACGGCTGCACTGGCAAAAGCTCTGTTTGTACCTCGCTACATCGAGTCCTTGTGCGCCATCCTCGATGCAGAGTCTGCCTCTAGCATAATACAAGAGCAGAAATGCCTGGTTGCGAGTCTGATAAGTCGGTTGTGCAAGGAACCGCGGTATCAAGATATGCTTGCCGACGCCGGGGTCCTGGATGCCCTGGCTACCCTGCTTGCCAGCTTCGTGGTTGCCCGAGGAGAGGTCCTGCCGTTTACCCTGGACACGCTGGAGAGGGAGGGCTTGGCTGCTGTAATACCACAGCCTGCTCCTCGAGGACTAAGTCTGGCCCTTATTTTGGAAGCGATATCTGTTTTAATAGCAGACTCCCGTTTCCGAACGGGTCTGCTGCTTTGTTCGCCGGCGATCATGGCAGTACTAACCAGTAGTGAGATCGGCGAAAGAAACTCTCAAATCTATCGTACATGGGAACTGCTTAAGAAAAGCGGCCTTACTCACGGTCGGCCAGTCGATCGCTCTGCTCTCGACTACCTACTTCCGGCTGTTCCAGTTACGACGCCGCGATTTCTCTTGTCCCAACATCACCCATCATTCCCGTCTACGGGGAGGTCACTGGAGACGCCTGCAAAACACGGCCGGGCTACAGCGAGGTTTACGACAGAGGATCGGGAATGGCTTGTTGGTGGTGGCGATACCGAAGAACCAGAGAGCCCGCTAATACCATGGTTGATCCACCTCATGCGATCTGGCACTAACGATCATGAGAAGGTCATGGCTGCATCCGTACTTGCATCGTTATTTAAGGGTGGCTTCACGAGCCCAGACCGAGAATTTTCCCTCAGCGTCCTTGTCGTTCCGGTTCTTTGCCGTTTACTAAAGGACTACGAAAGAGAGAGAGGCAAGAGCCTAGATGCCATTTTTGTCGATTCGGAGACTGCTATGGCATGGGTCATCTTGGAGCGGACACCAGCTGTCTTAGCCCGGCTTATTGCGGACAGCGTGTTCCTGCAGCAAGTTACGCGTGATAGCGGAGCCCTGAAGCTGGCGTGCAAGCTGTTGAAGGATTCATATGAGCCCACGGCAATCCCATCGCCCCCTAGGCCTTGGACGCCGAATCCTGAAGAGAGACAGGACACTGGAGATGATAAATTTTCGACATGTCAGCTTGGGCCACCGGGTCAAGTCCCATTGTGTGCGCACAAAATCAGGATGAGAGAGAGCTCACTTAAACTCATAACATCCCTGGCCACATTCAAGGAAGAGTTCAGAAAAGAAATAGTTGAGCAAGACATACTACCAAGTGTTGCAGAGTCACTTTCCGAAACGCCACAGAAACCGACGCCGCCCAAGGAGAAGCCAAAAACGGAGGAGGATGGTACCGTTCCTATGCATCCCGCTGGTCATTCTCCCTATGGGCAAAACCCAACTTCGGTATTGATCGCGGCATGTCACGCTGTAAGAACACTCGCACGATCGGTCAGCAATCTTCGAACAGTCCTGGACGACAACTGTGTCGCTATGCCCATTTTCAAGCTCTTGAAACACGTGGATATCGATGTTAAGATTGCAGCCTGCAGCGTGATCTGTAATCTGCTGACCGAGAGCAGCCCTATGCGTGATGTAAGTGGTTTATTTGAAAACTTGATTTTCCATTTTCCCCCCTTTCTCCGGTTTTAACAGTCTACTAACAATAAGTTAGCCTCTGATTAAAGCTGGAGTCATCGGCGTGCTCTGTCTATACGCCAGATCTGACAATGCGGGACTGAGGCTCAATGCCTTGTGGGCACTCAAGCATCTCGTTCACATGACGGACAGAGATACCAAAAAAAAGTGCCTGGAAGAACTCGGGCCGGGGTGGCTTATTCAATTGATATGCGACGATACGGAAGACGAAGCACTACATGCCCGAATTATGGGTGAACGTCGACCTTTAACAGACGCGGATGAAGATGAAGTGATGGATACGGATGACGGCTACGCCGAAGCAACTGACGACGTATGGCAGTGGCAAGCCATACACCGGAAGGGACCTGGCTTCGATTCGACGCGCATGCGTGTTGCCGATGGTATGCTCAGGGCATTACGTGAAAGAGAATTTGATGAAGTTCGAAAGGCGCGTGAAGCCGATCTCGCGATCCAGGAACAAGGTCTCGACTTTATTCGCAATCTCATCGCCATCCCTCAGCAACCGGCCCAGGCGGAAATGATTGACTACCTCTTCAGCGAGCTAGGCCAAGACCGCCTCTTCGATATATTGGCGTCCAAGCTTCGGGTCAAGATTCTCCGTCCGTTTGCCAGGCGCCAGTCTTCCAGCTCGGGGACGCCTGGTGGTGGAGCAGGGTCGGGAGCATCAGGCCGCAATGTCAGCATCGACTCACGTGTACTGTACCCGCAATCCAAAATCATCGTAGCGGTCATCTACTTTTTGACACACATCGCGGCGGGAGTTCCTCGACACAGACAACTCGTGATCGCCCAAGAGGAGCTGCTCAAGCTGTTGGCCGGCCATTTCAACAACAAGGACGTGGATGTGCGGCGGTCATTGTGTCATCTGCTCAAGAACCTGGTATGGTGCGACGGTACGGAGGACAGGCGGGGCAGGGATCTGCGGGTGTTTGAACTTGAGAAGCTAGGGTTCCTGCAAAAGCTCGAAGGCCTGGAGCGGAATGATGCTGAGCTGGATGTCAGGGAGCGTGCCAAGGAGGCGGCTTCTAGCATCAAGGGGGAAGCGTGTGAGGGGCCCCAAGTACCTCACGGCCGGGTAGATTACTAGGCGCAAGACACCCAACGGTTGCAAAAACTATGGCGCGAACTACCACAGGCAACGAATTCGAGCTCTTCGGGTAATTGGGCGACCTAGTCAATCAGTTTGGGGGGTATTACAGTCCTGAAAATACATGTAAGAGCCGCCCGTGGGCTTCTGGTCACGGTATTAGTGAAAGTAGATGAACGCCCCGGGAAGTTGAGGGAGACAAGACAGCAGGGTGGTTTATGCATAAGCGGAGTGCAAGCAGTGCTTGATAGCATCTTTCAGAGTCAACTTAGATAACAGTGGGAATGGTTTTGTTCATACTACAAAACAGGTGCAGAGTTTCTTGATTACTTCTGCTCTCCTGAAGTGTGAATGCCAGGAAGTTATTCGGAGACTCGTCGGTTTACCTCGCAACACTATTTCTTCAGCTAGGTGAATAGGCAAGCTTCGAACAAAGTCCCATCTGGTAACATTAGCATCAAAATCGAACAAACTAGAACCACGTCCTTATGACCATCGAGATGAATGGTCTCGGACCATGTCAACAGCACATCCCCCCACCCCCACCATCTACGCGCCCTCCTTTTCATTTTTCCTCTTGTTTCTTGATTGTTTGTTTGTTTTCGGGATACCGCATGCGTAAAGCTACGTCAACGACGCAAGCCTCGAAAACCTAGCTCAGCAATTACGTCCTGTACCATATCCGACATGGTAACACGAATGATGGAACAGAGAGTGTTTGAACAAGGTTGGCGGGCAACCTATTTCTTTGATCACTGGCACTGATGATGCTTCAAGGGCTCCAAGAGTTTCGAGGAAGGGGGTGAAGACCGTTCTTGATGTTATCGAAGGTGTGATACATGTTACAACGTGCCGTCAGAGTGACATCCACGTAATATAGGGAGCTAGACGCAGATCCGTTAGGTGCATGGCCCGGGCGATTGAGTCGGGTGTAACGATATCATACCGTCCGCTCTCGATATTACTTCGAGCAAGAACCTCGAGTTACCTCTGAGGCCAACCCGACTATGTACGCAAGTATCGTTGGCTCTTATACTCCCTTCCACTTTATATGACGTCAGCCATTAGATTGCTCTTCTTGTCTCTTTTGATTTTGCCTTTGGAATTTTTGGGCTTGAAATGGGCGACTGAAATACTTTTCGTTTGTAGACTGGACCATGGTAGAGGCATGCTCGGTCCGAAGACGCGAGAAGCCATCCATCAGACGTTGAACAAAGACCAGAAGGTGCTGGAAGTGTGGATTCTTCGACGTAAAAAGTGGGGATGAAGTGACGTTCGGCACTTCCTTCGGTGGGGTGATGACAAAAAACCGGGGCCGTTCGGGTCGAATGGAGTGCGGTGCCTGCGGCTCGGCGCGCAGGGCTGAAAATCTTGTCCTCGGCAAGGGTTCGCCTTGGAACCTTGCAAATCCGGAGTCCACTGACTGTGGAACTTTCTTTCCATTCCATCCGCCCGGGGGAATGTTGGGGCATGCTAACATGGCCCTATCGGTGAGGAGGGCATCATCCTTTCCTTCTTACACTTTACATTAGATTGTTTCCATGATCGTGAAATGGAAATATTAGAACATTGACCCCTCGTGGTTTTCGCGATCCGAAGATGGGCATGGGTGTCAAAGATGTCTTGTCTTTATGGAATGGAACTTTCGGCTCTTAGAAGCTGGATTTGAAATCACGTTGGCAATATCGCGTGATCTTGCAAGATCCGTCAACCTCCAAGTTAGTGTTCGTTCCATTTACTCAACATTTTCGTCCTGCAGGTATTGGGTCATGTTTTGACCCTCATGATGGGTTGATAGGACGCTGTGATTCCGACCTTTCCGATGCGATGCCTGGCCGTGTCGACTGACACACTTCCTATGCGGGAGGGTGTGCCCTGAACGCAGGACGTCACCTCACCTCACTGTCGTCTGGTTCGAATGCTTTTGGACATGACGGCAACGTTGATATGACACTAATGTCTGCCGGCATTTGGGTAACTTGCGGCAGCCACCCGCCGACCGGTCGACGATTACCACTTTCCCTCACACTTCGAACGTTGCATCCATCATGGTGATTCAACACTGCAGGCGTCCGATAGACGAAGGGCGCCAGGGTAGGTTGAGTGCGAAACGACACGGAAGCCGCGGGAGTTTGATTTGAAGCTCGCTTGACCGGGCAGTAGCAACAACAACATCAACCGACGTCTCCGGCCCAATTTGAGTCCTCAGGACAACAAGGAAGGTACGTAAAGGCTGTCACGATCCTTGTCCGAGTTGTACCATGACGGCCGACAATCACGAGCTCCTCCTGCCCCGACCACGCTCCGAATATGCCCATGTCACCAAGTGACTCCAACAGGCCAGGACAGCGGATTTTGAAGGGCTGGCCATCAATCAGTCAGTTACACTAAAAATGCCGTATGCCAAGACAAGCCCTTGAAGCCATCCTTCCCTTTTGTCATGCAAGGAAACGCAATTATCGTACCAGTCCGTCATCGTCGTTGACAACAAAACAACGTTGGGAAGGGAAAACCCTACTTCAGGTACCTACGCAAAGCCAAGGCGCAAGCAAGCTGAGGGCACACACGGACAAGTCTGGTTATACAATGCAACGAAGAATAAGAAGAGAAAATGTGTGTGTTCTGCGGAGCAGATAGTCCGGCTTTGCTGTATCATTCCGTCACCACTCCCATCTCTTTCAACACCTAGACGTGCCAAACAATGTTAGCTGAGCAAAGCTACCTCTGTACTGTATACGGGGGTAGATCGACACAGCTCGACAAGCCAATCGGCGGGACAAGCGAACTAGTGTCGCGGCCAGCGTACATATGTTGGACGGCTCATGGAGTGGATTTGCTGTTGGGAGGTCAAGGAGCTTGAAGCTTATCTGGTCCTCCTTGTCCAGACTCGGTCATAGGTGGATCGGCTGTTGTCTTCACCACCCTTGTTTGGTTGCAGGTACCGGTACGTCTTCCTTTCGCAGTCACGTACCTGACTACCACTCTAGAGTTACTACCCTATACTACCATAGAAGCTCGGTGCGCCGGCACGGCTGCTGTCGTTCCTCCTTCGTCCCTTCGCGTTGACGGGACAATGACGCCGGAAAACTCGGGTTTCGAGAACTTTCTGATCAAGCCTTCACAAACCAAGTGATGTGACTAATGTTATCTCCGGGCCCTGCAAGCAAATGTCATTCAAACATTCAAGAGAGACCAGACCAGAAAGCACACATCTCTCCAGCCTGCATCTATAAAATTCCAGTCTTGCCTACACCCAACCCAATACCTCTCAGTCCATCACCAGAGCATCAGCAACAACAGAGTTCGTACAACACTTCAACGAAGCATACACTTCTCACCAACTTTGGCCATCCTTTTACTGGGCAACGAGGAAATCGACGAGTTCTTTCACTCCCGTCTAGTGTACGACATAGCATCAGCAACCGTTATACCTAAGTGACCCGGATCATCGGAACCACAATGGCGATTTTACTCCCACGCAACGACGTCTTGAACGTCCATCCCGCTCCTCAGGGCCAGCATCTGAGTGTGCACGGTTCGGATTGGCTTTGGGCTGCTACTGCCCTCTTTGCATTTAATACAGTAAGTCTCATCTCATAGGACCTTCCTGATCATGTTCCTGTGCTGACTTGTTTTTTTTCCCAAAATAGCTCGTCCTATTTGCTCTCAAATTTAAGGCCAGTCGCGGTGAACGCCTGTGGCATTACATCTGGATTGTCACCAACCTGGTGGCTACCTTCGCCTACTTTGCTATGGCGGCTAACCTCGCCTGGGATGTGGTCAGCCAAAGGAACCAGGTTCGTCAACATGGCCCTACCCGTCAGATCTTCTGGGCCAAGTATGTTCTATGGGTCGTCTCTTTCCCAGCGGCTATCCTCGCCATGGGCATCCTCTCCGGCGTCTCTTGGGCTACCATCGTTTTCAACATCTTCCTCTCTTGGATCTGGGTCATCGGTTACCTCGTCGCCGCCTATGTTCCTTCCAACTACAAGTGGGGTTTCTTTGCCTTTGCCGCTCTTGCCCACGTCTTCCTCGCTTTTGAGACCCTGTTCCGCGCCCGCAGCTCGGCTAACCGTGTTGGTATCAACCGCGATTACACGATGCTCTCTGGCTGGACCAACCTCTTGTGGCTCCTCTATCCCATTGCCTGGGGTGTCTCTGACGGCGGCAATGTCATTGGTGTCACCAAGAGCATGATCTTCTTCGGCATTCTCGACGTCCTTTTCATCACCACTCTCAGCTACGCCTTTGTCGTCCTCAGCCGCCGCTGGGACTACAGTCGCCTCAATATTGCCTTCACTCAGTACGGCCGCGTCCCCATCACCGGTACTTATCCCGAGAAGCATGCCACCACCGACCACCATTCCGGCGTGACTGACCCTCACACTGCTGCTCCTGCCGTTTAAGCAACGCACTACTTCGCAGGGTCATGATATGACCCATTTAGGTGTACGGTCTGGCCGCACAACTTATGATGAGCCTCTTCCAGCCTGCTTATCCTTGAATGGTTGAGCACCTAGGAATGGGAGACATATGTACACGACTTCTTACGACGACACGCCAATGTGCTTCTTTTAATGTCCGGTTACAGTTTACGTTTGGTTACAGTGCACAACGATACACTACATCCGCTCGTTTTTGTGTTTTTGCTTGGGATTTTGATGAAGGACGATAGAGGTCATGATTTGGGATGGATATACCACGAAAAGGCGGTCAATTGGCTCCGGTGGAGGAAGGATGAGGTGAATGGAATCAGTCGATATCACTACGGAATTGAGACGCATGGTGGGGTGGCTGTTAATGTCGGGTATAATGGAGCAGATGGGGGAGGTATTCCATGCTATAGACAACTCTGTCAAATATCTAATAACATGATTCGTTTGAAAGAAAACTTATTGGGCCAACGGGGAGACAGAAAGCTCTAGAGACGCGCTGGGAGCTTGGGAGACGTAGCTTAGGCGGCTTCGCTACGTCTACACTTGCGCTACAGATCTTCCAAGTTCATGATGCGGATGCCGTAAGGTATGACAGAGATGAGGAGGTGCAAACAGGTATAGAATGAGTAGGAAAGACAAGTACAAGGTAGCAGGCAGGCAAGTCAGATAAGAACTTTGATGCGTTTGTCTACATGATGGGTAGAGTACACAGGGTGATGCCACCCTTGAGTCTGTTTTTTTGCAGCTCACAGCTAACATCTCTCTACCTTTCTCACCAGCAGGGACTTTACATAGGAGAGACGAGGCAGCGAGAAGAACGCTGAACGACTTTCTCCTCAGTACCCAAACACCTCCACCAACCCGCAATCGTCGCACAACATGCATACCCATGGGTGTAATGCTACGTTATCTGCCGCCTAGGTAACAGAAATAGACAACGTACCTCGGCTGAAAGAATGCTATACCATCAGAGCGGGAGTGGCTTGATGAGTGAATGAAGAGCTATATGATTCTTTTGGGTCAAGGTTGACGAAGGGTAGTCGGAGGGTACCCCTAGAAGTTGTTATGGATGTCTGATGGAGTCATATGTTGGGGAGGGGTTTGTTATGATATGTTGAATACTACGCCGTGGTCTCGTTGATCTTCTGATGTCCTTGTTTATGCCTGTAGAAATCGTGAGTGGAGCTCTATGTCTGGCTCCAAAAAGCGAGAAAAAGCAACTGAGATGCGATTCTGATGACTGCGTGAGGATGAGAAAAGGGGGACGGTAGGTAGACAAGAAAATGACAAGAATCTAGATCCTCCGGGTTCCCATATGGAAGCCATCAACGACCTAGTTCCCGTCCGATCATTCAACCTCGCCGCAGCCTATATCCCCGTACGCAGCTTTGACTACCTATTCTCTCTTCTCACTCTCTGCTCAAGCATTTTAAGTGACCCACCGGTGATGCCGACAAGCCATGCATGTACCCACGCACCCACCCACGTCTACCCTGTTTTCTATAGATTGCCCAAAGCTCAGGCAGGGTCTAGTAGCCCACAAAGGTCAAGAGCAAACAGCTTCCTACATTGTACCTGCAATTTATAGGTAGGATGTAGGTACCTACTTATCTTCCCTTACAGTGCCAACACACACACGGATAGACACACGTGGACAAACTCCAGACGGCCAACCTCCGCCGCTGCCGGCGGGGAGAGTGTGGCCGACTGCACAGTTTGTCTTACATGACATGAAGATAGACGGAACACTTGGGTATGGTGATGGGATTGTACCTCTAGGACTAGTATGTGGGCGCTAAGGTAGTTGAGTAGAGGTATGTATGTACCGTCTTTTAATGTAGTTATCCGTATCCGAGAGTCCGCGGTAAGTGGATTTGTTCTCAGGATTGGGTAGAGGGGGATGGGTGATTCCGTGTTGGCAGCTAGAGTTAGCGAGAAGGTGTGCCGTTAGGGCATGTATGTATTTGGGCCTTTGGTTGCGGTCAATAAGCTGTGACTTTGTTTCTTTGCTTGCAGCATTTGTTGCGCTTGAAATTTTAACTTCCATTAGTTGGTGTGGTGACACCTAACGGCCGGAACAAGACGTGTAGCCTACAAAGTGGACGATGGTTAGAGAGCGTCTTAGTGACTTCATTATCATCACTGGTTCTGTTGACTTGCACTTTACCTGCTCTGGAGAAGTATGTACATCTATGTAGTGAATCCGAACAAGATGCCCAATACCGTGAACTCTAGCACCACGTCCCTTGCTTAACAAGCTTCCTCTCCTTCGGGTCCTCGGGACGACAAACTCGTGGTCGGATGCAAGCCACGACTTGAGGCTGGAATTGCAATGGGTTGACCGTCCTGTTTCTTTCCTGTGTCGTTCTGCCCCTGCGAATCACAAGACGCCCGAAAAATGTAGCGTAGTACCGATTACTGTCTCTTGACAAGATGTGATACGATCAGTGAGAGGTTTAAAGCATATTTGAAGGGGCCTTGGTCAAGTCAATGAGTGTGTGGGTTAACTTGGCTGAAGGAACAAAGATACCTCTAGGTATAAATGGATGTACCATCTATCATAGGAGAAACCCACGTCACAGTAACGGCTCAATAACGGTTTATGCTTAAACAAAGTGAGGATGTTGCCCTTGCCGAAAGAAATTCTTCATGCGTTTGTCTTGCAACCGAGACGGTTTCCGTGTTTGGTTTACGATGGGGTGGTTAACTGTTGTCGCTATATCCATTGCTGGATAATCCATTCTTCGTTACCTACCTTGTATACCATTCTGGGATAGGGCAAATTCCATCGGCTTGGAAGTGTTGTTTGAAATACGTCTTCGAATAAACTTTTAGTCGTTTCATCTTCATCAACCTGCTTTCCTGTTCTTTTTTTTCTTTTTTTTTCTTTTTTTGCTGTGATCTTCAGAAAACGTAACTGTGAGATGAGGGTGCAAAAGAGTCCTCGTTCAGGACACAAAAGGCACTGTAGTAACCACCACGCTTCCGGGCTCCTTGACTGATTGCTCACCCTTTACGTTCTGCGTTGAGTATCGCAGGTATCGTGTGCTTCAAGCCATAGGCTTGGTGGTCTGCAGTACGCATAGTAGAGATGATTCGTAGGTGGGTGGACAGGCACCCATCCTGTCCGCCCGTTAGATGATCCGGTATTGCTTCAAAGCCTTGTGAGGGCAGATAGTACTGAGTAGCATCGTATTGTTGGAAGTCATGGCTCGAGTTCTTAAGTTGCTGCAGACACTCTATTGAACTTGTAGCCATGCTCCTTCCCTCGACTAACTTACCACGCCGACTAGGTAGAGGCAGTAGATAAGAGAAGCGGAGAAACGAATGACATGCGGGCAGTATCAATGAATTTCTCCAACCTTGTTGTATCGAGGTGTTCCCGTGCCAGATTTGTCCTGAATGACCTAATGTTTCGTTGCCCAGTGTACCCCACGAGCCCCGATGCACCTCTTCCGGTGCATGCCATGACAATGCCTCACCTTGCTTCTACATATCCCGGGCATCTGACACATACACATGCTGGAATTACCGACGCTGGAGATTCGGCGAGCGGGGTTTAGGTATGTTGATTGATGTACGTACATACATGGCCAGGTGCCCTGCGATTGATGTTCTTGTGATGCTGTCAGTAGGGTTTCATGCCTCCATGCCCAAGCTCAGCACAGTGCAAAGTGGCACACTAGTCCGATAGAAATAATAGCCATGTTAATGCGACGATCCCAACTCCGGTTTTCAAAGTGTATCGCTGCTTTAACGCACCAATGCATGTACGTCTGTGAAACGAAGTTGACAAGAGCCCGGCACCGAAAGGTACAGCAGAGAGAGAACTAGATACCACCGATCCAGCAACCGAGTGAGTGGTGCTGGATATCCCGATGTTTTGGGTCACGAACCGGGATGACCCGTGACAAACGTGGATTACAAAGTATTTCTCCATATGAAGGTTGCCAGTGGCATGTCAAAACATCGATACGAAGTTAGGTTTTGAGATCACCTCCGCCAATCCTACCCTCCAACCTTCAGACAGAAGCGCACGGTCCGGTCGGGTGCAGCAGACTGGTTTGTTTATCAGTCTAGTTCTCCGGTCGTAGGTTAAACAAGAGAGATCTGGAGCTCTTGTTAGCCTCTAAATAGAGAGACTGGCCTATATTTTGAAGCGTCATGGGACGATAGCCAGGAATGAAAACACTACAGAAGCCTCTTATACCTCTCCCGGTCTTCTCCCAAAATCTTCAAAGGCTAGAACTCGGAAGATACTAGTTCGGCACCCGTTCCGCTCGTAACCAAATGCCCTTTCCATTTCAGTAGTCCGAGTGGAAGTAGGCGTTTTTGTACCAAATCAATAAACAAAGGGAACCAGGGCATGGTTGGATGGTATCGTGTAAATGGAATCCAAGCGGCTGACGCTCCGAATAGTTCATAGCAGTGGCACAGACAGCCGCGCCCCGGAGCGCTGGGACGGCACTTACAGTATCCACCGGTAAATCTCAGTTACCACCTTGACGTACCTTTGTGAATGTCTGCGACCCCATCCTCAACAGCACTTCTTCTGAATCTCTTCATTTTGACAGCTAGCTTCGCTTGGCAGACGGCCGTGTGACATGAGCACTGGCGAGGAAGACACGACGGAACATAGCAGGCGACGGACGGGAAGTCGGTTACAGCGGGCAACAGTCGTACACAAGAAACAAAACGGCCGAAGTTGTCGAACCACAACAGACATTGTAAAAGCAACGGGCCAGAGCCACTGGGCCAGTGCTCCGCCCTCCCGCCTCTTTTGATAAACGTTCCCTGGCTGGCGAAAGACGGAAAAGCGCAAAACCCGGCAAAAATTACAAGTGGAAGTGGAATGCCCACGAATTGATATGTAGTGTACATGTACACTACACTATGGCTGGGCGTCTTTTAGTGCAACTGGATCTGGAAGTTGAGGGTCTCTGTGTCATGGAAATGTCTTGCGGCAATAATCATGGTGTTATGACGGTTCCTCTTATAGCTGCGTCTACAGATCCATCCATGACTGTCTCGACTCGTTCCATGTCCTGAGAGGGGCGATGGGGTCTTCGGGTCGCGGAAGTAGCTTCCTGCACAGCAAAAATGGAGACCACAGCAGACAAGCAATGGTTCGTGGAGAATCAACAGAGTCGTTGTCCAGGGGACCAGGAATGACCAGACCTGAACCCCGGATCAAGAGTTGGTCCAATGGGAGGGAGGCCACCAAAACCGTCCGAGCGCCCTCCCGCTCCGAGTGTTGAGGTAAGGTTGTCGAGAGAAACAGCACTAAGCCCAGATGGGACAGAACTTTACTTGTCACCACTGACTGCCCTGTGTATCCCATCCCTTCAACTCACCTTGGAATGTTACACTCGAGTGCAAACCGTTGACAAACCGCCCGTCCGACTCTACACTAGGCACACTACAGTGTCGAGAGACGGGCGGGAGTCTCGTCGAGTCCGTCGCTTGAGCAAAAAGTCAAGAGAGGTGAGTGAGTGACGGAGAAGCAGACAAGGGGGGTGACTGATGACGGGGACTAGGCTCAGAGAGGGCAGGACGGGAGCCATGGCGCTCCACTGCTGATGCAACCTCCCATGCATGGTCTAACCGTCTGTCACATTTTCCGTCCGCGCTCATTTCGCAGAGACCCCACTCTGAAGTCTCTAGCCCTCTTTAGTGCCTGGGACCCTTGTCGCGGACCAAGGCATTCCTCCCCTCCACGGAATCGTTTCTGTTTCTGTTTTTCTTTATCCTGTTCTATCCTCCCTTTCTGCTTTTACAAAAGAAAAGTTAGAGGTAGGTACTGTCTGGCCGGCGGTTTGTTGCCTGAGAGCGTTCAGTTCGTTACCCGACCCACGACGGGGAGTAACGACATGGAGGACCGGACGGGAGCTCAGATCCAGCCCTCCAAAACGCCCAGACACGTCCCCTGCCAACCGCATATGTACATACCTAGCGTAGAGGTACCTACCCAGGCGGTACGAGTTGGACGGTGACAGTGCTACGGTCCTGGCTGCAGTCGAGTGGTCGCCCCAAAGGCTTGGAACAATACGTGGACGGCCGTTCCAGAGACGTTCGCCGAGTTTGCGGGCAAGCGACCAATAGAAGTGGAAGCACCAGTCCCAAGGCGGTCTCCGCAGGCCCGTCTTCCACTTCCCTTCCACTTCTTCACACAGCTCATACCCGTCGCTCTGGTTTCTGGGAACGTTGGGTCCGTAGTGTGCCTAGTCCCATACATAGCGATAGCCCACCACGGTCACCCCCCCCCCGGGCGTCCCCATTCCATCCGCCATCCACACACACACCCGGACCCATCCACATCCATTCGTAGCCAATCCGTCAGCTCCCTCTAGGCCCATCCGCCCACCCTCAATCCACTCCTGGCTGTCCCTGTTTTGTCCTGTCGGTAGCGCTTCCTTACTCCCCCCCCTCGCTTCCCGTCCGTCCGTCGTTCAATCCTCGTCCGCCCCGTCGTCTTCTTTACTTCCTTCCATCTTTTTCTGCCTCTGTCCGACCCCGAAGCGACGACGGCCTGCGTCGAAACCTTCGACGCTTTCATCAACAAGTCGACTTTGGCGTCAATTTGCCAGCAATTTGCTTTGCCTGGTTTCCCTGCCGCAAGGTCACAGGGTGAGTGGCAACTGCACGTCTTGCACGCCGATCGCATCGCATCAATCCAAGCGCTGCTGTCATGGGACTCACTTGCTGCGGCCCCGTCTTATCATTCCCTTGTGCAGTGCTTCAGCAAGTGCAGTCCCTTCTCTGCGCGTCCGAGATCGCGGTCGCATCAAATTGGCGAATGATGACGCTGATGATGGCAATTTCTAGTTCAAGACCAAAGCCCCTCCCCGACGAGCTGGGCACTAGTCTCCCATCATCAGCCTTGTGGAATTGCGAAAAGTAGAGCCTCAAGTCCGGAAACTGCCCAGGACCGCCGTGTTGCCATCTGGTTGTGAGGTGAACAGTATGGGTGCTCAGGTTATCGCCGCTGCCTCCAACGGCCTCTGTCATGACGATGAGCCCATAGCCTCGGTCAAAAGTCGCATAACAAGAAGCGGCCGAAAGCTATGGTATTCTCTGAGGGTTGTCCAAGAACCCCTGCGCGCGAGAGCGTGCGGTTCGGGTCCTAAATGTAAGTGCCAGAATCAAGATGGGGATCGCTCGCGGATCGTTAATACTTGTTCCAGCATCCGCCGACCGTCGCCCCGTGGACCCGCCTCCGGTCGTGGAGCTGCGCATCTTTGAGGGTGAATCTTTTGAGATGGCCCAGGAGAGGGATGTCACTTTTCAGTATAACGCCAACTTTTTCCTCTACGCCACGCTCGAGCACGCTCGTGTCATGGCCCAGGGTCGTCTGCAGACTCCTTCGGCCAACACACCGCCTGTGCTGACTGGCATGCCTGTCTCCGGCATGGCTTATCTTGACCGACCCAAGTTGGCCGGCTACTTCTTGTTCCCCGATCTGTCGGTTCGCCACGAGGGTCGCTATAAACTGACATTCAACCTGTACGAAGAGACCAAGGAGGACAAGGACAAAGATCCCGAAGAACCCAATGCCCCCCAGGACGGCTCGCCAGGATCCTTCGACTTCCGAATGGACATCAAGTCGCATGATTTCGTTGTCTACAGCGCCAAAAAGTTTCCAGGATTGACCGAGAGCACGCCCCTCAGCCGTACCGTCGCCGAACAGGGATGTCGCGTTCGTATCAGGCGTGATGTGAGGATGAGACGCCGCGATGGAAAAGGAAACAGTGGTGGTAACGACTATGAGAATGGCGAGGAGGAATATCGGAGGGTCAGGAGAACCGCCACACCTGATACTGCAAAGCAGGAAGCTTACCGACAAAGATCGATGAGCGGAAGCACCGAGAGGACGCCCTACTCTGCTATCAGCGATCCTCAACGCCGGCCTTCGATGGCTGACTACCCACCTCAATACGCTGCTCAAACACCGACATCCGGAGGCCATTTGGGTTTCTTGGGCGGGAACACACATCATCAGTATCCCGCTCAACCACCACCACAAAGTTTCGCCCAACCGCACTCGGTTCCCCCTTCACCCGTCTACCCCACGAGCCAACGGGCACCTTATCAACACCAGCCGTCTTCCTACCCTCCGCCACCACCGCCCCATCAGCCGATATTCCAGTCCGAGCATCACACATCACGGACCTATGCGCCCATCAATCCCGCCCCTCGTCACGACAGCATCCACCAAAGTACAAAGCAATACACACTCCCGCCCCTCAGTGAGGCCGTCTCTCCTACTCAGCCGCATCACCAGCACCCTTCCATCGCTCCTCACAGGTTACCTGTAACTGCTCTACCTCCTCTGCAAGTCGACCGCTTTTCCTCAGCCAGCCACAACCAGCATCCAATGGTCAGCCCCAGCAACATGGCTGCTCCGCCTTACCCTCGTGCCTATTCCGTCAGCAACAGCGGCGGTCTCACAAGTTCTGGCGGCTACAACCAGCTTCCGCCGCCACCTCCTCCGCCTCCGCAGGTTGCTGGCTCGAAACGCGCACACGATCAGACGTTCAGGGCTGATCCTGAAATGAGGCGGTACCAGGACGGGGCGCGCGAGCGGGAGTCTTTGGATGACAAGGAGCCGCCGCTTTGCACGTTCAAGTATAGACGTGCTGACGGCAGCGTTGAGTGTAAGCAGGCAGATATTGGCGGGTATTGAGGTTGATCATTTTTACACGACGGTTATGTTCTTTGTGGGATTTCTTGTTAATGGTCGATCAAGTGGCTTTCCGGAGCACTGACACTGAGAGAGTTCCACGCGCACAGTAACAAGTTTCTCCTTCATGGCTTGATGGGGTTGTTGCTGCTGAGCTAGGTGTTGAGGCGTTTGATCGGCTGAGGCGCCGGGGCATTGAGTGCCCTTGTCCCAAATTTGGCTTCGGGTTCGATTTTTAAATAATGGTTGCCCACTCCGTGCGGGCTCATTCGTGCAAAGTCTGTCTTGATTTCTTTTCGTCATCTGTCTGTCCAGTCTGTCAGTTTGTGGTACTCTTTTCTTGTCTCTTCTTGACTACCGACCATCGCACAAAAATGTCCCTATTTGTTTGGATTAGGGTTTGGGGTTTGAGTGCCGTTGAATGCTGTATGAGTTTGGCTACACACGTGCTCAGGGCATACGCAGCCCACAGAGACGCATTGAGGCATGCACGCATATACTTGGTATTTGCAGAGGTTGGATGCTGAGGATCTTGGCTGCACATATACCACCAGACCAAGCTGTTGGCGTTGAAGAAAACAGCCAGACATTACTGCTACATACGTTCCTTCTTGACGTTTCTCTCTTCTTCTATCTCATGTTCTCTTCTACCCTTTTTTTNTTTTTTTTTTTTTTTTTTTTTTCCTTTTTCTTCTGTCTACATACTTGTTCAGATCATAAATCGGGTTTTCACAAGGTGCGCGGGATCCAATCGGAATGGTTACCAGTTAAGTCGTATGGAACGCCAAGAAGATAGGGATTCAAGGTTATCAGTTCAAGATGAAAGTGCCGAACCTACTGTAGAAATTCGGGAAACTCAGAATGGCACTGCAGGGTTGAAGGTGGTTAGTGATCATGTTTCTGCCTAGGTATGGACAACTGCAACACGACTGGCATAACCCCCGCCAAGCGTCCTATAAGCCAACCTCAGAGAGCCCTTTGAAGTTTTCTCTCGAGCATCTACAGTATGGTACAGTGATGGGCCTGGCATAATCAGGTTGATGGTAGATTGAATGCCAGTCCATCCCTCCAAATATAACCATGTGATGTGAATCAGAGCAAACAGCGCGTGAAGAAACCACGTTTCTTCGACACGGTCGACGTTCCTGGTGAATTTGCGGCTACCACTTATTAGGTTCGACGAGTTCACCTGTTACTGCTCGAAATTGTGATAGCATCTGCAAAGAGCCACCTCTTATCGCAACGTAGATGTGCCGCTTTGAGGAACCGACATGTCAGCTTTGGTTACTTGTATCCTTTTGCAGAAACGTGGACCGGTTAGTGAAGTTGTCTGCAGTGCTGTGACAGAGATCAGTCAGTTATGTGACAGTTAACTGGAAGAAACTCCAACCTTCCAGGCATGAGTGGGATGAGATAGGGAAAAAAAAAGCCACAGAACTGTAGAAGAGACGAAAAGTGTAAATTTGGTACGGGAAAGAGAGCCACGAGGAAAAAAAGAATCAAGAAAAGATTGGATAGTATATAGAAACCATGAAAAGCTCGGCCGAGGTGGAGGTAAAAACGAAGAAGAAAAGGAAAAAAAACAATCTGGAGAAAAACATAGAAGAGAATTCAAGATCCTTTTTATTCTTATTTTTATGTTCCCAAAAAAATTGACTTGAGTGGTAACAGAGTCCAGGTAGGCTTGTTGAGTTTCCCCAAAGTTAGCAATGGTTCGAACGTTCACCTGGGCGACCTGATCCATGATCCGTGGAGTTAGGTGGGTTTCGCTCGGACAATAAAGACAAGTAGTTAGCACGGCAACCAGAACCGCTATCGGATAAATCTACCGATGGCCGAGATGAAAAGGAGACAGTAGTAGGAAATTAGTTTGTGTCAGTGCATTTCGGCCTTTTTTTTTCCTTGCTTGCGAGCATAAGATCATCAAGATCCGAGCGGCAAGCGGATCTTGAACGGAAGGATTTCATATCGGTCTTATAAAAACAATTTTTTTGAAGCTCCTCGGCGATAGAGTTCATCAGGTTTCTCGTTCGGCTCGGCAAGATATATGCTTGCTACGATCTTCTCAAGCTCGGATGTGGGAAAATCAAGATGTAACTTATGTCGTGCAGGAAATCTCACCTGGTCCCGCCTTGTGGGAATGCATCGAAAATGAATGATCTCCTTGGGCGATGCCGTCGTAGACGGTCATTCCTCCGAAATGAATGTTTAAGCCCCGCACATACATTCATGCACGGATTCCTTCTCGCGCCATTTTGGAGCGTGGTGGCTGCATTAACTGGAACGGGCCTCGGACGAAGCTGCAGGGCCGTTAACCGTGGGCCAGTTGAATCGGTGATCGTTCAGCCGGGCGGGTATAAGGTTATGTGTGTGTATGTATATGTACCTTGGGGTGCTTGGCTTGGGTATGTGTATGCTGATCATGGTGTCTGCGTCGGACGGTCACAACGGACGGTGAATGCCAACCAACAAAGTCTCCGAGTCTCTTTCTCTCGGGACACTTTGGTGTTTGGGAACAGTTGCGTGAAAGCGCACCATTGTACGACGATGGTATGGTGTCACGAACGAAACGCCCCTGAACTGGCTCCTGAAGATGGGCGCCTCCAGGAATCCAAACACCCAACCTGTTCGTTAAGCAGCTCGTCCCAAGAACAGGAACTGTGCAGCCAGCAGCGTGGAAGCCAGATTGCCGTTGCAGCAGGTCACCGGCGCAAGTTGATACCGCTACCCGCAACGGCACGCGAGGCCAATGCAAGGCATCTCACCTCTCCGCCGGGTTCCCGGGGGCCATGTGCTCTCTCTGCCATCCATCTCCTGGGCCCCCCTGGGCCCCAGCCTGCTTGATGGGGACTGATGAACGTTCGTGATGGACAGTTGGCCCGCTGCTGATCCGCTACCAGACGGGGCCGCCAGGGGGTGCAATGGGGTGCAATGGGTGATCCTCCTGCTTCCGAGTCCACCGCAAAAATGACCAAACCCAAGCCCCGAAACACTGTGAATATTTGTCTCATTTTTCCAAAACATGGGAGCCATATTGAGTGAAAAGGTGATCCGAAACCCTGGCAATTTGCCTTTCCCTCTTTCTCCATTTCAGAAACCGCAAAAGCAGGAAAACAAAACGAGGCATCGCCACCTTTTCATTGGCCTTTGTTCACTTTTTCCCCAGGTTTTTTCATGCAACAGGGGTTCAGCCGGGCAAGTCTGCCAGACCTGCGCCAAACGGAAGAGCGGGACTCAGGCGGCGGGGGCACCACTGGCCGGCCGCTGGGAGTAGGTTCTGATTTGCTTTGTTAGGTGTACCTAGGCGACTCGGCCTTGGCTCTTCTGCTCCGGCTGGCGAGCTTCCTGGAAACGCAGGAACAGCCAGGGGGACCACGGGCGGATACCCTAGCGGACACCACACGGGCATCCACCGGAGTAGGTGTTGCTGGGCTTGCTGCTGGGCTTGCTGGGGGTGCAGCTGCCGGGGGGAGAACGATAGTTCCCTTCGGACGGTCATACTCTCCTTTTTGGCGCCAGAAGTAAACAAAAACCCACTCAATCGCCTGGCACCACCCACGTCCGCGGTTCCCCCAACCTCCCGTAACGCCCACCACCGCTTTTTGATATCCACTCGCTCACCGAATAAACCACTCATTCGTCCGTCGGCACTCCTTTAAACGCACACAAAACCTCGTCGAAGCCGCGTGAGCGAGTCCGCTTCGCCCGACGAAGGAGCGTTGCGATTTCTGCTGGTAGGTGTCAGTCGCCTGTTGCATGACACGCCGCAACCAGAATGCCGCATCGCCTCTCCCCATGCACGCTGACATGTTCACTGATCGACTCTCCTCACGATAGCGAACAACAGCAGACGACACTAGCCAGCCTGGACCCAAGAAAGCCCTCCGCCGACCGATTTGGTCGCCTGCTACGGTCCGCAAAGGCGCGATTCCGCTCGCACCTGCGACCCAAGAAGAACGACGAGACGAAAGCCGCCCCACAAAAGAAGGAATTTGTCAACTTCTCGAGACCGAATGCAATGGCGTCGTCTCGTCCTCCACAGTCACCTACCATCGGCTCCGGCGCCCACAAGTTGAATCACACCTCCTCGGCTGCTAGCTTCAGCCGATTTGTTGAGGGTTCCATGAACGACCGTGTTTCCGCTGCCCCGCCGCCGTCATACCTGGAGGATATGGACGTGGAGGAATACGAGCGACAGTTTGTTGGCACGCCGGCCACCGAACATGCTCCAACCATGGAGCGACACCACACCCGTCAGACTACAACTACTGCCTATGAGCCATCCACACCCCCACAAGAAAACGAGCAGGAAGAACAGCAGCCGCCGGCGCAGCCGCCGATGGGTCACAGTCGCAGCAAGAGCAAGTTCCTCCTCACGCCGCTGTGGGATGGCGTCCGCGAAAAGTTCAGCCTGAGTCGTAGCAAGTCTTGGGGAGCCATGGTGAGCGGTAAAGACGCTATGGGACGGCCCTCTCTGAACACACAAGCGGACAGCCGATCATCGATACACCGTGGTCGAGGCTCAATCATGACGGCGCCTTGCACCCCATCTGGTGAGACACCACCTCCTGTACCGCCTGTGCCTGTTTTTAGAGGAGCAGCCGCAGCGCTGGCGACGCGCGATCAAGAGGCGGCGAAGGAAGCAGCCAAAAAGTTCTCAGCCGCCGATTACCCCACTAAGGAAGAGGTGATGGAGAGTTACAAGAACTTGGTGGCATCGGGATTCTTTGAACAGCACGCTATTCACGGCACCAGACATCCCCTCCGAGCCGCCCAAAGCGCGGGCACCGTACTGAGTAACAGTCCAATCCGACATGATAGTGTTAATGGTAGGGCTCGCGCCGCCACGACTGCGTTCTCATCCAGTCGTCCCTCGCCAGTACCCAGCCGTTCAGAATCGCCAGCTGAGGACCTGAAGCCCTTTGCCGAACATCTGGCACAGAACAATGATGAAAAGAAGTTGCATGCTATTTTCACCAGCTTCCATCGCAAGACAGCGTCAGTACCCGTTAACAACTCGATGGCCCCACCTCCTCTTCCCTCGCCTTCTAGGGAAGAGCCAACACGTACAATTGGTTCTGCCTTTGTAAACGACTATCTTCCTCCACAAACTGATCCGGTGACTGCCCCAGACTCGCCTTCCCGCGGAACGAAGCGCGGTACTGATCCCCATGGTAACAACATTGAGACCAACGTCGACTACGGCTCGATCCGCAAGCTGGCCAAGAAGTTGAGGAAATCACAGTCGAAAATCGAATTTGATGAGCGACCCTCCTCGCCAACCAAGTCCCGTACGTCCGTTTCAAGCTTTCGATCCGCCGCCGCGTCCGTCATGTCGGCTCCAGTCGCCATCAAGAACAAGTCTTTCATATTCGGCTCCAAGGATAAGGGGAAGGCCAGGGAAAGCATGGAGAATAGGCCAGCCACGAGCGCTGGGCTGAAGGGTGACTTTTTGTCAGAAGAAGGCGCTGCTTCTTTCTTCTCCCCTCTTCGCCAGGCCACCGGCTTGGACGACGCGATATCTATTGCCACTCCGGTCCGCCCTGGCCAGGCAAGGATAACCAAGGTACCCAAAAGCCCGTCTTCCTTATCTTTGAGAAAAGGGTTTCTCGGCTTTGTTCGCAGGCGTAATAGTGTCAGCCACAAGTCCCAAAGGGGCGTGGAAGAGCAGTCGACAAGGTGCCATCGTCCGAGCGCGAGTGAAGCGATGCCAGTGACGACAAATACCTACGTACATGCCAACGGTTATCGGAGAGAGGAGGAGGACAGCATGAACCTTAGAAGGGACAGGGACGAGGATGATGCTATGATCATAGACTCTCCTGAACCCGAGTACCAACTGGCAGCATCATCAAATCACCCGGGAACTCCCCAGCGACCATCAACCAGTACCTCGACAACAACACCCGTCAGCATACCCAGATTTCACTACCCGAAGCCGACACAGCAACCTCAAAGCGTATCACCACTAAAGACTAGGCCACAGCCCAACCGTGCGCCACCACCAGTACCTGGATATGGCCTCGGTGACGAACTGGTGGCTAAGGAGAGAAACTCAGGCGACAACGGAAGTGTAAGTGGGATTGTCAGCCACCGCGATTCGGGCCTGGGCGGAGCAGGAGAGGATGTTGAAAATATTCACAGGGTATGGTGATTGAGGGTGGTGCGAGACGGATGACCAACGAAAACGACTCCACCGAACCATGAGCCAAGCGCAACACAATGTTGGATGATCAATGATCGAAGGACTTTGGTGTGATGTGGTAAGTGAGTATACTTGTGACAGTGGGCGGGACAGGAAGAGAAACGAAATCCAACCCGGATCAGGAGAGAAATGGAAGACTTTCTCTTTCCTTCCGAGTTGAAGGATTCCGTCGTGTCCCATGCCTGATCCACTACACACTGCACTCACTGCCCGCACCGACCCATCGCATCGCTCCTTCCAGCATTTGGGAACACTCGCACCCTCACACCCTCGCACCGCAATCCTTCCTTCCTCCTTCCTTCCTTCTTTCACGACAAAACATCTTGCCAACCGCCGATCATCGGACCATACCATAATAACGTCCATCGTCTTCGTCAGCGATTACGATACGGTCCTCTTCGAATTTCTATTTTTTGCAGCGTCTTTTTGTTCGACTTCGGTACTAGTACATTAGGCAGTACTACTCGAATTCTCTTACCGATTGACCGGCGGTGCGGCAATGATGTTTTGTCTTCTTCTCCCTGGCGGGTCTCCTTGCCTGGGGAAAGAGAAAACGAAAGCACTATGAGTGCTCAAAGGTGGTCATTGTTGGCATCAGTATCTGTGGTGACATAAGTGGCTATGGCTTCCCTTGTCACGGATTCTGTTGTTTCTTTGTTTTTTTATTTTATTTTCTTCTCTATTTTTCTTGTCTTGATGAGATATGACGATGTTATGACCATAGTTTCTTTTGTCTTTCGTTTGTCGTTCTCGGTGGTTTGCGTTTCCTAGCCTAGCACTTACTTAAAAGGAGCGATGGGCGAAGGAAGATGGGAGGATGAATAGGAGATGTGTCGTTTGGTGGTATAAACAGTCTGAGGGTGGACATGGAAGTTGGTATAATTTGTGTACGACGGATGTTTACTACCGCTCGAACCTGAACAGAGCGGATGAAGGCATGTCCTCACTAGTTACAGTTATATCATATCGATCATGTCTCTGCTCCCTATCTCTTGCTTGCTGAACGTGCACATGATGTTTCGTAGACATTCTTACTTACTGCTATAGTACCTACCTTTTTGCGACATCGCAGCTGTGACGTTTACACCCATTCTCATCCTCGACTTTCCACCCAACACGCCAAGGATGGAATCACAAGGCAGTCACCGCAAAACCCAGCACACCATTCAGCACCTTTCCCCTAGACCTACATGATGTTTACTTGCTTGCCATCCGTCAGCATCAACGGTACTGACTACACCCGGGACCCTGGAAAACGACCGAAGCGGGTCCTGGTCCCAAGACACCTAAGGGCGGGATCCACTCCAATGAGGTCATTCCCAGCCCCAGGGGTCCAGTCTCGCCAGTCTCGCCTGTTCAACCACCAAGGTGCGTAGAGGCAGATCCGATGCAGCGGTGAGTTCGGATCGCCCCGGGCTTCTCGAACAGACCATGACAAAGACATTACACTAAAGATAGGAACGATTACGTATGAATGGGAGAGGGTACCTTGGAGAGGTCGTGAATGCCAAAAGCAGTGTATCCCAATCGTGTAATCGAGCGCAAATGAAGTTCCGCTCGGACATGGACCCAGCTAAAGCTCTCTCGCTCCCTGGACTTACAACTCATACCCCTACACCGTCGAATGCCAACGGAGATGCCCTGTAAAAAAAAAAAAAAAACCTTAAAACTCAGCTCAGCTGAACCATCGGCCATCAGAGTCTAGGGAATCCAGGGACACTAGGGCATCCATCCACCCCCCCCTTTCCTCCATCCCTTTTCCTTATTCATTCTTCCACCGCTAGGTACAGGGCCACTAAAAGATTGGAGCTGAAAATAGCGACCTAGCGAGCTATGCGTGTAAGTAAGTGCCGCCGGACTTTCCCATCTTGGCGGTCCGGTCTTCTAGGTTACACATATGGAACCTGAGCCGCTGAGCCGAACTGAATCCCGGTCATGGATGGGTATGTCCGTCATAGGCATGGTCTGCTTGGTTGGTAGCATGTCCTGGCGGCGCTCGTTGGAGCTGTTAGTGTAGAAGCTGGAGGCTGGTAAGCTCTGTACTAGTACGGGATCTACCTACGCCGCATGTCATCCATCCATCGGTGGATTCCCCTGACCTCCTTGCCTTCCAAATGCCCATGTACCTACATAGTTACGTTAACAAGCATCAAGCCCATAGGCCACAAAGGTTGGTGCTTCTTGTTTTGTGCATGTATTGATCTTGTTTATTTCTTTTCAAAAAATCATTTAGTCCGTGACTTTAAAGGACTCAGACGACGTCGGACCTTTGTCAAAGAAAAACAACAAAAAAAAAGGAGACAATGATTCACTGTAGTGATTTCACCCTTCTTGGATGAGGACTAGTTAGCGTAGTGTTGTAGTGTAGATCTGCACTAAACGGTGGAGTTACAGAAGGTGAAGATCCCGGGGTACATACGTAGTGAGAGTGGCGGCGCTGTGGTGGAGGACATTTGAGGTGCTGTGCAGTACATAATGGATGTGGAGCCGATGATGAAGTCACGAGGGGATAGGTAGAAAACAAAAGAAAAGTTGTAGAAGGCTGTCTTCGAGTATGACGAGTATCTCGTGGAGTGGTACATCAAGATGTTGTGACCAGCTGGAACAATAACGTCGGATTAGAGATGTGCTGTCCCTTCTACCACTACCTATATGTATGTGATCCCCAGTACTACAATATATGCAAATGTAAACAAGATGTGATAGCGCCTTGTCTAAAAACAGCAACGTAGAGTTGAGATATACGTATCGTACAGTGTAGTTCAAACTTGTTTGGTTGCGCACAACAGAAGTTGACTAGAACAGCACGAGTCCTAGAAAAGCACCGGCTGCTGTGAACATTCTTCGCTGGAAAATAGAACCAAAGGAATCAGGTTACAAAATTTTGGAAAGTCAGAAACATCCAGAATGAGTTGACAATGTTCTGAATTCCTCGATCAATAAAACTCAAGACATGAGCCATGATCCTGTTTTGTCCATCCTCAACGATAAGAGTGGTGATAGATATTCACTTCAAAAAGAAAGAAAAAAACACTGTCTCCGCCAAAACACCGATGAATTCCCAAGATACAAAACCCGAATCAGAACCCCCCCTCCACAGCAAAAAAAAACAAAAAACCAGAGAGAAAGTGCTCCACCTAGGGAATGATTTCGAATGTCCTCGGCCTTTTTTTTCCTTTGTTTGACATTTTTCGTAATGTGTTCGCGCCGCTCCC